ATTCTCTAGGAGAAATAAAGAGCAAGAGAGACAGATAGAACTGGCAAGCAGATGCAAGGGAGAAACCAAAGCAGAGAGAGTGAAAGCGGAAAAATACAAGCCTTGAAAGAGACAGTTCCCTTGGGCCAGAAAGACTTTGGTTTTCGCCTCTCAGTCCTGAGTGCTCAGAGAGGTGTCTGAAGGGGCGTCCGAGCCTGAGCTCCGACCTGGTGCCTTCGCAGATGAGCTGTGCAGCTCTGTGAGTCAGACTCCTTCGCGGAACCTCCGTGTACCCATCGCTGAAAGGGGGCCCTGGGCCTTATGGTGTCTCCAGTAACACGAAATAGGAGTGAGGTGTCCACAAGCTAATTTCAATTATTTTTTAAAAGCTCGGACCCGAAATGTTCCCTACTCAGGGATCTTCAAAGGCTGCCCAGAGCTGGTTGGCTATTGTTCCATGAATGAAGGTGGGTGGCTGGCTAAAGGGTATTTAATAAATGCCTTTTATTGGATGGACACAGACTTGTAAGGTTGAGGCCTGAGAGTAAAACATTGCTGTGGCCACCGCCCCTCCCAGCCCTGGCTCTCTGGGGACTGAGTCAGTTAAAGACACAGGACTCTTTCCTGAAAACCCGAGAAAAGAAAGATGCAGCCGAGGAAAGAAGAAAGGCGAGGAGGTCGTTTTCTTCGGGTACACACTAGACATTTAGAAAATGGAACCAGAAGGGGAAAATCAGATCAGCGGAGCGAGCCCGTTTCATGTCTTTAAAGAGAAAGAATTATTCCTCGACCCAGTCCTTGGGGAGGGACCCTTGGAGGGTTAGGCCCAGCTGGAGGCCCGTCAGAGCCCAGGGAAAATTCAGAACCACAGGAGCTTGTTGGATTTGGACCCAGAGAAACACATGTTGTTATTGCAGTTGCCTTGGTAACTGGGGGGGCAAGCGGAACACGGCCTCCCCATCTTGTACGGTGCCTCACCAATCCAGTTGCCCCTGGAAGAGAAAAGGTCCCAGAAAGATGGGGTCAGGGGACAGAGGAGACTGAGCAACCCTCACACAGGTTTCCAAATCTCAGCAGCACCACTGACTGGGCAAGTCATAGCTGCAAGCCTCGGTTTCTTCATCTGTCAAACCAAGAGACGACTTCTCCCCAGCACGGGGATGTAGCGAAAATGAAATAACAGAGCCACGTGTGCATGCACCTAGCACCGTGCCTGGCAAATAAGTGACTCCCCAGCAAGGGTTAATTTTCTCATTCCTTCTGCCCCGCTCTCTACCCCGACTCAGGCGGATCTAAGTGTCAGTCCTGGTCCTGGATTCTGCCACCTGCGAGCTGGTGACAGAATAAACCACCTCGTTTCTTGCATCTTGATTTTATTCTCTGAATAAAACAAATAAATAAAATGGTGTCTGTAAACATTATGTGAAAACACTTTGTAACTTATAAGAGTACAACTACACAAATGAGAGCTCGAATAATTAATTAGACAACGAGTGTAATTTAATCATGGTGGCGGGGAGGGGGGGCAGGGTGGGGACACATATCCCTGAAGCCTTGTCAGGGTCACTGCTGTTTATTTCTTAAACAGCCTTATCCCAAACCCATCCTACCAGCTCCTGAGTTAACCCTTGCAACGGGCCACGGTCTTTGCGGGGAAGGGGAATAGGGAGCTATTGCTTAATGGGTACCGAGTTTCTCTTCGGGGTGAGAAAAAGGTTTTGGAAATAGTGGTGGTGGTTGCACAACATTGTGAATGTAACGAATGCCACTGAGCTACACACTTAAACATAGTTAAAATGGCAAATTTGATGCTATATGTATTTTACCACAATTTTAAAAAGTTATTAATGTAATATCCCAAGACCCATTGAACTGTACACTTCCAATGGGTGAGTTGTATGGTATATGAATTGTATCTCAATAAAAGCTGTTAAAAAAAAAAAAAAAAGGAACACCACACACCAGTTCCTGATCAAGAACTTTCAGTGGCTTCCCATTGCCTAGGCAAGGGTGAGTACATTTTTTATTTTGGAAAGGGCCAGACAGTAAATACTTTAGGCTTTGTGGGCCAGATGTCTCTCTCCCATGAAAGCAGCCACAGATAATATTAAGTGAATGGCGCGGCTGTGTTTCAATAAAATTTTATTTACAAAAACAGGCAGTAGGCCGGATTTTGCTATGGGCTGTAGTTTGCCAGGCCTTGGCTTCCAGAATCACATCTACCGCTTTTGGTCAAGGCATTTCAGAATGCCCCGGCAGCACGTGGCTCCAGCTTACACACTTCACCTTCCCACAACTCTCTCTTCTAGCCCAGCTCCCTGATTTCTTCTCCCTCTTTCTCCTCTAAAGGTCTAAAATCGTGCCCTTAGCTCTTTCTTGCTTGTGGCTGCCTAACAGTCTCACTATTGGCCCGTAGTGTTAGTTATCTTTGCGAGTCCTGGTTTTCTCACACTTCAAATAAACACTATTCTTGGGCAGAAATGGAATCTTTTGTTCTCCAGAAGTTATTGTTGAGTGACTATGAGTAAAGTCAACCAAAGTGCTTAGAAAAATATGCATTTCTGGTTTCAGATGGGACTCATTCATTCATTCATTCATTCATTCGTTCAACACTTCCAGAACACCTATTGGGCATCAGGATGTGTGCCAGATGCTGTAAGTTTACAGTTTTCAAAAAGTCTCCCAGAAATTTGGGGGTGGGGAGAGTGGGTGGTGGAGACACCAGGAGTGATGGGATCAGAGTAATTCCTTTTTATTTAATTTAAAACTTGAAAAAATGTTCTACTGCTTAAAAAACAGAAGGATATATAGAGAAATGAATAAGATCTATTTCCCACCCTTGAAGACTTTATAACCTAGTTATAATCACGGCCAAGATTTATTTACCATGTAGTATGGACAACAATGCACTATGAGCCTCTGTGAGCCAGGCAGTATTAGCTCTATTTTAAAGGAAGAGATAACATGATTTACCCACAGTC